ACAATTTTTGGAATTTCCAGTTAGGTCAAATTAGTCACGTTATACTGTCACGCTATATTTTGGGGCACAGAGGGATTGGGGAAGGGGTACGTGGAAATAATGCAAATTGTTTCCTGCTTAGAATTAATGGCTAACTTGTTTATTTTTATTCATAATGGTGGAATTTAAAAGTTATTATACAGCCCCCACTTAAAATGGTACTCTTTTTTTTGGTTACGAAAGTCTTTCAAAAGGGTACAATGTTCTGAATGAGTTTATGTTTCAGTCTCACATGAGGTTCTGTCGCATGCAATGGTTGCCGACAAGGTTTTATGGTAGCCTGAGTGTGTATAGTCACCCCCTCCCTTCAGAATAAATAGCCCCTTTGCAGCCCAGTTAAAAATCGCTTTTGGGCGATTCTTGTTTTCACTAAACCGCTGGACACCACAACCTGGTCCCTGTGCGCGTTTTCCCAGGCCCTCTTGGTCAATTCACTTATGTGACGAATCCGAGGCAAGGACCACGAGAGGCGAAACTATTTTGCCGCGCGTAATAATAAGGCCCAGGGACTAGACAAGCTTCGTCCCAAAAGCTTTTAACTGGCCCTGGCTGTTCAAACGTTAGATAGCGCTATCCACCGGATAAATCACTATCCATCGGACAGGAGCCCATGACCCAGAGCCTCTATCTCCACTGATTTCTTGAGTCAATCCCTTCCCGAGTAGCATGCCCCCGGATCCCCCTAGATACTCTTGTTTTAGCGATCATGCGCTCCTGGCCAAAGCAAAAGCTCCAGCCCAAGAATGGAGCCAGGGTGAAAATGAGACCCTGTTCAGTAGATATCGAGAAAGAGGCCGTTGCTGCCGGCAGGTGTTTGGAATATACAGCTTGCAGAGTCGCTTGAAATCCCTCACTGTGGCGAGTTGGAAGCCCGCGGGGCCCTGAGACTGTGCCCGTCCCAGTCTTGCAATCCTGATCTAGAAAAATCAGGGGATTAGTATACCCTCTTTCAGAGTCAGAACATGAAGGCAAAAAACATACCCTGTTGAGGGATTAGCCCCCACCCCTCCCACCGCCGGGGGTAGCCATCCCTGAATTTTCCAGTTACTCGGCAGGAGTCTGGAAATCGTAAGCAGTGGCAAAGCAAAAACAACGTTTACAATGTTTTATGAAACGAGGAAATTTATTTGAATACAACAACAACAAGTTTATTCTATACCTGGTGTTACCGACTGAAATACAAAGACAGATAAATTTAAGGAAATACAGATATAATTGAATGGTATAATTAATTATTATGCTTCTTTAGTCCTTCAAATGCTTGAAAAACGAAATTGGCAGTTAGCCTGCTGATATGCGAATCAGTATTGTTGAAAAGAAAACAGACTTAAACATGTTTGTGGTAATTTGTAAATGTATTTCGTGTTGTTTTAATACAATTAGAGTCTTTCCCATGATCATATAGGTCATGTAGGTTACAGTGAAATAACATGTGCATTTCATTTTCAACTGAATACCATCTCTAGCATTAGTTTCCTTCATTTTACCCGATAATAACCATTTTGTCTTTAAGTTTATTAACAAAACGCCCCTATAACACAGCGCAAACTAACGAAATAATGAAACCAACAAATTTTACGGTTTCACTTCGAGAGCAGGATGTCCTTGCTGCACATAAATCACCTCAATTTGTCACTGATTTATGAACAGGCTTTAACCTCAAAACGCTATTTGAAAAACGTGGCCAACTCCCAGTCCTGAACTCGTATTAGTCATGTCGTCAGAAATCGTTCTTCTCATCTTGTTTCTTGTCAAAATACGACAATTGTCCTGATTCGGTTCCCTTTCTAATGTCCATTTTCGGTTCCGGTTGTAAACTAAGTCCATAAAGAGCGACAACTGTATAAAGTTTTACTTAACAAAACTCTTCAGATTTTTAATATATAACCAAGACTTCTTTGCGTGTTGATTTGATTTTCTTTCTTTAAATCTACATTTTTATCTTGAGCAACAAAAAGCTAGCCATAATCTGAAAGCTAAACTACATTCCATTTACTATGAAATTCAGCGGACACTTCAATTACATGATTACATGAGTTCGTTACGACAATAGAAAGCGAAAAATTCGAAAAATAGATTCTTCGATGCAACCTAATTCGTGATTCCACAGGCAGCCCAAGCGCACTATTTGTGAGTTCGGGCTTCAGAGGTCATTTGGTCGGAATATATATATAGTGTTCAGTACTCGATGGAAAGAAAGTCGACTAAACGGCGTTTAAACCAGCCGTAGGACACAGAGTGGTTATGAACTAAAGGTAAGGGAGCTTTTGAATCAATATTTCGCGTGATCATGATTTTTTTTTCCTTAGCGTTGTAGATTCGAATACATGTGATAAAATTCGATCAATAAGGGCCCGAATCACATGTAATAATGCAAGAAATATCGATTTTCGTTATCTTAAAGGCTACTAGTACCGATAGACCAACAAGAAGACTTCATATCTTTAAGACTTTTTGCATTTATTTGGCATCAGATAATACACTAATAATTCTAGTATATTCCGACCAAATGACCTCTGAAGCCCGAACCCACAAATAGTGCGCTTGGGCTGCCTGTGGTGATTCTTATCTATCTTCTCGTGTGGTTGCCTTCGTAGTGGTGGTGTCACGTATTACGAGGACACTGAAGCGTAGGATTTATCGCCAGTTTTTGTTCACTTGTGTTATTAAATCCTTATTACTTCACATCTGAACCAATAAAGAGATCGAATTCCCCGTCTTTGTTAAAGTATGCCCTAATCCTTAATCTCCACAGGCTTATTCCCAATAGGACAGAGCACGCAAGTCACCCCATAAAATTTGAAGATATCTTGGAAGAATAAATGAGCGCAGCATGTGCGAAATATGGATACGGTGTAATTCCAGTAGTTTTTTGTACTTTAAATGCTATTTATCTTGCAAATAAGAATAAGCTCTAGAGCATACTTTTTTCTCTTAAATATCGCACACTAGTAAATTATAAACAGTTTTCTAGGATATTAATACTTTGAATAGTTATTTATATATTATACGGGGGTATATCGTGACTGAAAAAATAAGATCACTGTTCTGATTATTTTGCGTCCTAAGCCTCGGCTAAACTTCAAATATTTTCGTGCAACATCATGTTTGTCATGTACACGTAATGTGGCGGGGCGGGAAAGGGGTCAAAGGAACTAAAAAAGTTTGACCATACATACATCAGAGAATGAGTCCACAACATTGTCACATTCTTATGGGACCGGAGTCCCCCCGCCCCTTTTAAAGCTTGGTTTGCTATTAGCTGAACGATCAAATATTTGTTCGTGACGAAGACGTTGCATGAAGATGTTTTATGTACAGATCAAACATGGGAAAAATGCAAAATTTGGCTGAACGGTCCAACATACTCTCTCCACGTGATATTGGACGAACATGTTTCATCGTTTAGCCGTAGCTTTAATATTAACTCGCTAAATTTTACCCTTACTACTAAGGGGTTTCTTATGGCTTCATTTCAAAAGTGGATTAAAGCCTGGTACCAAGGTTAGAACTAACAAGTTGTGTGATCACTGTCTCCTAGCAACAACACCACTTATCAATCACAAGGGTATAAACATGTGATCACACAGCATCGAGTAACCTTAAAATACATTTCATTACTTTTTCTATAAAAAACCTATCAGCTATCTGCAGTAAACTCTCTCAAAGCCCTTGCAAGACACCTTTCTCTAAGTTGCACATCAGCGAATAGTTGGTGCTAGAGTCAGACAACTGAAGTTAGGGATAAGGTGTTAGGCCTGGAGCAAGTTCACTACACGGACATGATTGGCAAGCAATAGGCCATTTGTATGATGAAATCAGTCTACTACTGCTACCAGAATTCATTTAGGGTTTCTCTGTCTTGTGCTTGTGTTAATTTAACCTTGATGAGATTACTAAAACTGCCTTAACTACGAAAGGAAATACCAAATAAATCCTGGTCGTGGTGGTAACATGACACCATTGTGCAAATAGCCTATCAACCCTTTCTGACCCAAAATCATGATCACTAAGTAACTGTATTTTTTTAGATAATTAACCAAAATTATAAACAACTAAGGCTGATTACAAGTACAATACATACGATTTAGTAATGATTGAGTCAACTGCTAAGCCTGGTTTCATATGATGATCACTTTGATCACTGGAAGTCAGCTATCTTTGCAATAATCATTGCAGCCATTACAGAGCCTCTGTGTGGGTACCTTGAGGATGTAGTTTCTGTCAGGCCTTTTTCATTAGTTTTTCAACAAAATCGTCACGTATCAAGAATTGATTTGTGGCATACTGCTACTGGCAAGCTCCAGCAACTAAGACAACAACAAAGGAAACAAGAAAATACTGTAATAAAAAAAAGCAACAGGTCTAAACTGAAAATACAGCACACTTTTTTCTGCTTGCAAAAGAAAATACTGTAATCCAAGATTCTTTCAAGCACTATGCTTGCTACTGTTGCTACGATTGTTGAATTATTTCAGTGGTTGCTGCAACCTTATAGAAACCAGCCTTCAGCTGTTGACGGTGTGTTAAAGGTATGCACATGAAGTGTGCAAACAGACATGCATGACTGTGTTACCATAATTTGGAAATAAAATTATATCTCTCAGTTGCACTGCACACCTTGATTGATCATTCCAAGGGCTTTTTACTCCTGAAAAGCCAAAAGCATTCTTTCTTGCCTTATGACCATACTCAGAGATACAATAATTAAATATCTTACTAATCTTAGGTTATGGGACCCTATTTCTTCCTCTGGGTTTATGACCCACACAACTGGGCCAAGAGACAGAGGGAAAAACTTGGTCCATTACTCATAGTTCAAATCTTGAACTTGCATAGTGAGAGGCATGTAAATACCTGATATTTTGTAATTCTTGGTGTTGTAGATGGCAAAACCCAAGTCATTCATAGACCTGATGGAAAAAATTTAATACTTAATCTACCATAAAGAGTTATTGAAATTAGTGGTCAATAGCTAGGAAGTGCATGAAGTCCTTCTTATTTTGAATTGGAGATCTTGTTGGTCGCCCCAGGTCTTTTCTTCCACCCTTGTTTGTCTTGATCTCCAGGAGGACTGGACCCTCCAGACTTCTCATGAGTTCAATAGCTTCAGTTATCTCCTCTGGTTGTTCAGCTGCTAATACCTGAACAAAGAAACAGAAATCAACGAACCATCTCATCAGTTTTACATACACATGTACATAATTTGAGAGGAGACCATTTAACAATAACATTTAATGTAAAGATAGGGACATGCAAGTGAGAGTAAAGAAGGGATGAAACATCCAAAACAATTTTAATTTGGGAAATTGTGAGATTGATTGGTAGTTGTCAGAAAGAACAGGAAGAAAAGTGTTCACTTGCCAAAAATAACCATTGTGCAAATTGGTGGTGAGATGGAAGCGACGTTATTCAGCCTCTAACGCCACCATAGAAATCCTTCTACATTTGACCTAGATTGTACGCCTTGCAATCCAAGCTAATTTTAAAAGAAATATTGGGGAGGACTCATCAAAGCATAACATCCCTACCCCTTATACCTCTGCACCATTTTACAATAACCCAGTGATTTTTTGGCAAGTGGGTAATCATCAGCATGCTCTTTCTTTGACAAGCCTAGCCATAATCCCATCATTATTTACATTAGTTTGGTTTAGGTGAAATCATCACTCCTCCACTCCGCATCCATATTTTGTGGGTGTTTTACCACTGTTAACAGCCTCAGGGTGCAAAGAAAATCATTTTTACAGCTTCCAAAAACCATTCGGGCAAGCTGAAGCTAGCATTTACTAGCCCAGGCATCATTATATTTCAACTAGCCCAAAACACTCCTTGACTAGCAGAATTGACTTCAGTTCTTCTCTTAGTCGAATTCCTCAAAAAATATCACTGGCCCATCGGGCAAGTTAAAAACAGTATTTACTAGCCCGATAGCAAAATCCACTAGCCCTGGGCTATTGGACACTACTTTCTTTACACGCTGAGCCTAACAGGAATATCATGTTACCATAATCATTAGGTATAAAGTTAGTTCTTTTGCACTCATTTGTTGATTCCATGATCAGTCAAGTCCGTGTGATTCGATAAAACTGGTAGAAGAAATAAATGAACTTAAAATTAAAAAAAAATTGTACACTGTGTCCTCAGACTTACTGATCTATATCCACATGCTTTGCCGATTTCCAGAAAATCAAAAGTTTGACTAAAACCAACTGTGGGTTGTCCTCCTACTGAATCATGGCAGCCATTGTTGATTAAAATGTGTTTGAAGTTTGGTACTTCACTTTGTCCAATAGTGGCAAGGGCACCCATGTGCATGATCACAGCACCATCACCATCAATGCAAAATATCTTACCAATAAAAAAAACAACAGTAACAATTTAGACCTCTTAATTTACATGTTCCTGCTATTTATTTAGCATCAACTACATGTACCAATAACCAAAGGTTAGGGAGCGAGGGTGAGATGAAACGTCAAAACCAGTGCTCAAAAAAATTCCTCTCCAATAGTGTGACAAATGTTCTTGCTAGGCAAGTAACTTTCAGGCCTTCTTATGTTTCAGAAGGACAAGCTGAAAGTTTTTTTTTTTCAAACCCTGAAAACTCTGTTGCTCCAAATTTTACTAATGTAACTTTCATATGATAGAAGGTCGAAATGCACATGATAAGATTATAAGTGATAGAAGGTCCAAATGCATGAGATCAGATGAGATGAAAGTCCAAAGCTTTTGTCAACAAATGTTTTGAAATAGATAATGAATGGCAGAAAGCAGGTACATGTATTACCTCTACCGGTAACTTAGCAAAAGTGACAGAATTGATTTTGAAGTGTGAAAACTCTATGTTAAAATAATTATTCCTTCAGCCTTAAGTAATTCAAGTGCTACTGAGCAGAGAAAATAATCATCATACCTGTCTTTTGGGTTTAAACTGGGCAATACCCAATGCAATAGCTGACGCATGACCCATAGATCCAACAGTCAAAAAATCCTTCTCATGGCCATGACCCTTGGCAACCCTGTATTCAAAGAGCTCCCGCGACAGCATACCAGTTGTACCAACAACCACATCACGGTCTTTTAGGGAATCCACAATGACTTGCAAGGCTCCTTCCCTGTTCAGTGGGTAACTAACCAAGAGAAAAACAAAAATGATCACAAATTGAATACACTCAATTGACAACAGGAGAGAGTAAACTTCTGACTCCCAACTGATTTTTGTTAAAATTAAAATTTTTGTAATAAAGCTTTTCTTACAAATTTTTACCAGTAGAATGCTAAAAAAGGGTTTTGTGTACATGTAGGTCAAACTGAACTTCACATCAAAATTGTTTCAACCTCAGTATGTTGATTCTAACGTTGATTTCCAAACTCCAATTGGTTATGATCATGAATTATTAGGGCTAAGAGAAAAAGGATAATATTTGTGAATCAATCTAGGCTGAAACCATTTTAAGTTAAATTTCATTTTGACCTACAACATACAAGTGTTCAATAGTCGGCCTCTAAATGGCTGTTGTAGAAAGGTAAATTTCAGCCTTTGACATGTGCTTTAGTCCCCACACTACATTTGATGACAGGATGCTGTTGTGAAGAGCTTACTAAGTAAAGAGTAAATGTACCTAGATTGACTGTTAGCACAAATTAATAGTTTCTGAAGAGAGGTTTAACTGTAACATATTATGAAGCAGGAGTTATTTTGGGGAGTTTAATTCTGTGGATCAATGTTTTTTTGTGCTATGTGGAAGCTATAGTGAACCTTGCTAGCCACCCCCTTGTCACCTTCTTTTTGGACTGCTATTTTTCTTTCACCATATTTTAAAAATAAAGCCAAGAAATTAATGAATCAAATGCATGATGGCTGCTTAAGCGAGGTGAAAACAATAGGGGAACTGTTATTGGGATGGCCAAAAGGTGGTAGTTTTTATGTAGTTTTGTTGCTGGAGATTTATTTTGGCAATTTTCAGAAGGTTGTGTTTAGTTGGAAGTACAACACTTTGTTTTCTTTTATTAAACTTAACTTCAGAGGAGAACATTTTTGTGGAAATTTTTTTAGGGGGAACGCCATTTTTTTACCATAAAAATATGTAAATTCAAAAACTAGATACAAAAAAATTACACACACACACACACACACACAAAAAAAATGGAAAAACAAGACAAAATTGCAAAAATGCCAATTAATAAAATTTTGTGTCACATGGTGATTTAAATCTGTAAGTTCCTGTTCTGTAGGTTCCAGTAACAATTATCATAAATTGACAGTCAAAGTACTAACAGATCTGGCTCTTTTTCAAGCTTGTATGGTATGAAGTTTTGCCTCCGCACTAGAAGACAGTAGGGCCCCTTAGATGTTTCCATATGTTTTCTGGCAACATACAAAGCCTGAAAAAATGTCAAATAATGTGTCAGTCAGAAAACATCATGGCAATCAACAGTTTTCTTTCTTACATTTTAAGTCAAAGTTTACCTATGTAAAATAACTGAGTACAATAAAACAATTTTGCCATGCAGTTAGAGTAAATAAAATTAAAAGAGGTAGGGCATCAAAGAAACCTTACATTAAATCCTATAATGCTGACGATGGAGAACTGGTTAACAGTAAAGAAAGGATCTCTCTGGCCACCCCAGTATACATATATTCTCCTGATTCTTGCATTACATTATGATGCAAGAATATCATTAACAAAACTCACTGTCATGTTTGGCAGATTATCACTTCAGACACCAGTAACAGACCCCTTAAAAGCCCCTTTTTAATGGAAGTATGTGTAGCTTTTTTTGTTTGTTTTTTTTTTTGCTGTTACATACTCTTCAGATGAATTTTATTTCAATTTCTTACCTGTTCAGCACCTTCCTGGTAATCAGGTAATACTTGGAAAGGAATACCACACGATGCTGAAAAAAAAAAATCACGAAAAAACAACAAAAGTGAAAAGGTCTCAACAGTTTGTTCAGTTTTACAAACACTGTCACATGATAATTATAGTAAGAATAGTAGGGGTACCATGGAAATAACAGCCTGTGGAAAGTATCTCCCAAGCTGTTCAAATTGAGTTAATCTCATGCATGTAAATTAAAAGGGTATTATTTTCACATCTGCCCTTACTAAAAAGTTATTATAATTTAATATGAGAAAACTGTAATTTGTTTTCAGTGAACAATTTACTGTGTTCAGTATTCTTGGAGTCTGTACAACAGTTAAACCATGTCACTAGCACACAACTAAAATACTGTGGACTGTAAACACAACAGTTACCAGCATTAATTTTCAGTTTTTTGCCTGTGAAGTTGACATTAAGTTTTTTTACCCTAACAATTTAAATAAACCTGACACTAGTGGCTCCTTAAAGCTGCTAATCTTGAAAGTGAGGAGAGTCATAACATTAGAAACGTCTTAAAATTCTGAAAATAAGCCGCTCTTAATACAAGTGCTCCAAATTCAAACTTTGAAAAAAGCCTTGTATAATGACATTCAAACTTTGACAGAATACAGTAATTTTGTAGGGTTACATGTACATGGATAAAGAGAAGTTAGCATACCAAGTATGCCAGGTGTAGCTTGCCCTTGTATCATGTGCTGTGGTTCGTCTCTTTTTCCAGGCTCTCCTCTCCACCCTACTAACAACAGCATGGGGATGCTGTACACATTTGGCACAGCTAGGGACATTAGAGGATTGACTATGTTTCCTAGTCCAGAATTCTAGTGGAAAGAAAAAAGGCTATAATAGGACAGTGCTAAGTAACTAGCATTTATAACAAACTGCTATAAAAATGACACTTACATGCTAAGAGTGGCCTGTACATTATACATAATGTACATATGGCCATTACTTGCAACCTGTTTACTGAAAAAAAGCAACCACACCCCTAAAACCACTCCATTCCTTGACAGTTATTACTCACCCAAAAAACTGTTTTTTTTATTTCCTCTAATCTTACATCTAATAGTATGCTGCAGTTATTAGTTAAAACTCTTTAATCATTGCTTCCATGCACCTACAGATACTAGCAACGTTCAAACTGGCAACTGTGATGTTTCTTCCCATGATGTGAATATCAGTTTTGATATTTGACTCACGATGATGCAATAATCTGATACAATAAATTGTGCTACCACAAAAAATTTTAAGAAATCACTTCTTAAAATGTTTGTTAACCAAATCCGACATTACTATATAATTTACAATAGAAACAAATGAAAAAAAAAAAAAACAAGCCACCCTTACTTCGGATTGTTCCCATCATATTCAATGTAGCAGACAAGATGGGGAACAAAAATTTCCTTGGTAATTATTTGTTACCATCACCCGGTTCAGACGCTGAACTTTTCATGAGCCAAACCTAATACATTGAATTAAGTACATGAAAAGTTTGATGTCTGAATCAACTAGGAATGCCTAATTTTCATTTAGAACAGCTCAGCCATTCTTCCCGCCTAGTCCAGTCAGGAATTTTGACTTTGGATTGACTAAATATTATTGGAACAGTGCTGATTCAGATGGCAAATTTGTCATGCACCCTAGTTTATAAATCAGATATAAAGTATTTTGTAAGAAGTTTGAAAAAAATAAGCATTTTTTTTCCTCTTGGATTTAGTTCAGCTGCAATTAAGATCAGCATCAATTCAGCCTTAATTTGAATTAGGTTCGGCTCATGAAAAGTTTGGCGTCTGAACAAGGCCAGCAGTAAAGTCTTGTGTGCCTGACAAGCAAAACATGAGGTCTCCACAGCTTTGAACACAGTGCAGTCTTGTCAAACACAGTTATAAATATAATAATTTTTATTGCTAATCATTTTGTGGCCCTTATATTACAATATGTATCATATTGTTGCGAAGTATTTTATAGGATGTTTTTAGTTTATTTCATGTTTACACTTGAAGTTTCACACGTGCTTAGAGTATTGTTGTTATTAGGTTTGAAGATCAAGGTTAATCGGTGTTTGAATCAACAGGTTTTTTAATTTTATGACCTATTTTAATTAGTTTTTTAACACAAGTGTCAGTCCTTGAAGGGTGCACTTTTTGGGATGATCACTGACCTTGATTGTTACCTACATCAGATCACAGAGTTCTTGTTTTGGTTTAAGGTACAGCCTTGTTAGTTTAGCTATCTATTTTCCATTGGTTTTCTAGTACTTGACATTATTAAGCTTATAAGTTTGTTTATTTCACTTTGGTCATCAACAGGAAATTAGTTTAAGTCACTTAAGGAAGCAAGTTTGTAACTCTCATGGTCAGCAAGCCCAAAGTCGAACCTACATTCACACATTACATCACTACATTCACTACATTTGGCGCAGTTTTTTTGGTAGTGGTGTACAGTTGGGATGTTGTAATTATGTTAAGTAGAGGTTGTTATAGCCAAATTCATTGTATCGGGCTGTGTGTTTTTCAAACTTCAAAGGAGTTTTGGGTTTTTCTGTTCCATCAATCATCTTAGCGGACCTCTTAGGAAACACATGTTTACTTGTGATTGGTGTGTTTCGATCAACTTGGTTTGTTTCTGTGTTTCAAGGTTTGCTGATTGTGATCACCCTGTTTCGCACTGTTTCAGGCAATGATTGACTAGTTCTCTTTGCAGCTTTTTATGATCTTTCTTATTCTTGTCTCTTGCAAGAAAGCAATGTCTGCCTCCTGCCCTCAACAAAAATTCCACTCATCATCGCGGTTTCCTTCACTTTTCTTGAGCAGTTTAGGGTAATTCTCAATTTTGTTTTTGCGGGCCAAGCTGGGTGAGTTGCGTTGCATTGTGATGTGCATTAACTCCACCCCCACTCAAATGATTGACGGAACAGAAAAACCCATTTGAAATTTGCAAACATGCAGCGCGATATAACAAATTTGGCCATAAGTGATGCAGTAGAAGAAAACATATGAGCTGCTGTGAAGAATAAAGAATACCAAGAGATACCTGGTACCTCTAAACCTAGCGAGCGAGGTGCTCTAATACCCCCACAATATCATAGGAAATTGTATCATTGTAACCCAAGTTATACCTGTACTTTAAATAATGAGATAGAATATTCTTGAGTTATCTTATCTACATATGTATGTATAAAGAAACAAAGGGCAAAATCAAAGAAGGAAGAAAGAAATAGGTGATCACTATTACCTGAAGATAAACCACCCCTGCTTTTCCAGTTGCCATGTGATAACCAGCGGCCAGAGCAACTGCCTGTCCTTCATTACTTGTTATGACATGACGTGACTTTGGAGTGACAGCTGTCACATAGGCACAAAAGTCTTTAAGCAGGGAGTCAGGGACCCCACAAAAATAATCCATGCCATGCATACACAAGGCATTGTAGAAGTCTTTTGGGTTTAGGAAGTCTCTCACTAGCTCAGTGAATTGACCTGCATCTTCATTCCGTGCCTTCTGCTCAGCAACCTATAAAACGACGTGTGGTTCAATAAATGATCCAAAAACACTCAAAGGAGGGTCAGTACACATTTTGAGGAGGCAAAGGGTATAAATTAAAGGCAAAGAGACGTGGTTGGCTCAAATCAATAAACTCTCCTCCATGAGGGAGTAAGAAATTTTCTGGATGGAGTACAACACCATCAAGAAACAGAGTAAAAAAGCCAAGTTTCAGTGTTTTGGAAATCTGATTGGAGTATTAAAACGGTGAAATTATTTATTAATACCCACCCAACCATTAACTTTTAAAAAAGGAAACTACGCCTGAGAATCATGAAGTAAAAAACTCTGCGAAGCCCTCATGAAACTATAATATTTCGTAATTCATTTGCGAGTTCTCTTGCATGACGTTTGTTTTTCACGGAAAATTAACATATAACGAAATGCTGGAAGAGACGTAAAGCTTATAATGCTTCAATTAATTCTTGCGAAGGACGCGCGATCGTCAGCTGTTATTCACTGTCACACCACGATGTCAAAGTCGATTCTTCATTGCACACGGAGTTTCTATATTTGAACGTGACTCGATTTTATTTTCTTTAAAACCTTTGTAAACCAATATGTCAAGCGTCACACATGACTGCTTTAGCACACGAAATACATGTATAAGTTTAAACGAATACACTTCTAACTGACTGATTCAAAATGCAATTCAACAATTACTCACGAGAGGAGTTCACTGAACATGAAATAATCCCGGAAACGAGCCAAGTTTTAACGCAAATCAGGAGTCTGTGACTAATGGACGAGCCCAGACTCACTGTGACTAAATATCAGTCCATGGAGAAGCAATCTTGAAAGTTTGTAATGGTGTAAGATTAAATGAGCTAATTAAAACGCATACTGACCTGAGTCTCTGGATTAACCACCTAAAAAATGTCACAGAAAAAACAAACGAGTTAGTCTCCGAAACATAAGCGCAGGCTTAACACAATCAAGAAACAGGAAAAGAAAAAACACCACAGAGGAAGCTTACATCTGAGGATTTCAAAGATCCCAGTGACAAAGAACGCACCCGTGAAACAACCTGCGAGAAAGATATCAAATTATTTTTCTGTAGTTTGAAGATTAAGACCCCCTCATATCGCACGATTTATTCCTTATCTCATTTGCAGTGCTTACGTTGGTTGTAAGAAGGGGTTTAGGGCGGCGAAAAAGCGCAGAAACAAGCGAGACACTAAAGGCCATGTACACGTTGCAATACACTACACAAATTATGAACGCTAAAATGAACTCAACGGTAGGAACGCTAAAAAGTAAAATTACGACATATATTGCGCAAGAGCATGGATTTTAGACGACGCCAACTGACCAATCAGGCCAGTCATGTTCCAATACCAAAAAATGATCATGATCAGCACATACGACAGAGCCCCGACAGAGCTCTCAAAATCCACCGTATGCGACATTGAGAAAGCTGTTAACCCCAGAAATATTTATCCCCTCATTTATGGGATGTCATTGTGTTGCCAGAAGAAAGCCAATGGGAATATAATATCTGCTATGCAAAAGGATCTGAACTCAAACAAGAACTGGGCAAGAACTGGCGAGTCAGTTCATGACAGAGCAGTACGTCTTATGTATAGCGCATTTGTGGCCAATTTTGTAACCGTTTTTAGATAACTTTCACCGAGTCTCACCCAGCTAGCCTGGGTTGCAGGCGTTTGAGGGGATTTGAGGTACATGGGAAGCTGGAAGGGCTCGCGAGGAAGGAGGGAAGGGAACCCCTTGTCTCTCTCGCGCGGTACTTGTTAAGACAAAAGCCACAACGACAAACCAGTGAGGGTCAGCTGGATCTTAAGTAGACCTGGATCAGTAAAATCTTCAAATTTTAAAATTAAAACAGTAAACTGATCCTTACGGAAAGAAAAGAGATAGAAAAAATGAAGACAGCAAACCAAAATAAAATGGTGAATTATATCTGCCCGATATTTCGGTTTGCAACACAAACCTTCAACGTCTTCAACGGAGGCTAAAACAGTAAAATGAAATCTTCCCTTACGCTTGCCACTCAGGCTACACTTACCCTTTTTTATTGTCACGCAAGAAGAGCGTTGCGTGACGAGAAGGCCTCAAATGACATAAGGAGATTGTTAGTTTTAAATCCAGAAGAGGGTCGATCCGCACTCGTGAAAAGCTGTTTATTTAAAACAGCAACTTTGCCAGGTCCTTTACTCCGGACAATTCTTGCAAGGACCACTTGGACAATCAGCAGCTAGGGAAAGCCGGATCTTGTTGAAGATCAGGATCAGCAGTACAAAATAACACTCGAAATTGAAGGCAAGGCTGATCGGACAGCTAAAGGTTACAAATTTATTTGCCCAATATTTCGACTAAACAAAACTAGTCTTTATCAGGGGCTAGAAAAGCTCAGTGAGAATAGAAAAAACGGTTACAGTATTTAAAATAATAAAAAATACTATGTGACTGGTGGAGGAATACTATAGACAAAAACTGGCATAAAGAGGTTATATTAAAATATTTGTCAATAGATTAAATTTCATCTCGTCTTTTCATCCCATAGGGTTCAAGTGTTTTGCCTTTGGATAATAAAAATCCTTCGGGCTTGTTTCCAGGGAGAATCAATCTAACTGTCAGCAATGAGAGAGGATCAGCTGATCAGTGGTCAATTTTTGCGGACAGATGGATGAGTGTGATCCCTATGAGTTTGTTCAGTCGGTCATTAGCGTGGTTGGTGCAAAGACATTCCTAATTCTGGGTTAGTTCATGATCATCAGCGCCCAGAGCTGATCAGCGGCTTGCCTATAAACGTCAGCCACATACGTCGATCACTGCTACATTTTCGTCGATTCATACTGAGACATATTTTGAGATTGAAAAGTCCATTTAACTCATGAACGGCACGAAAACAATTCGGCGTTTGTTTTACACTTGGAATTGAATGTCCTAATTTTGCTGGTTCTGCCCTTTTTTCCGGCACAATACATTGACAGGACTTTAGCATTAAGTAACCGATCTGTGGAATGTACCAAAGATTAAAAAAAAACAAGGTCTAACGTAACGTCACATGCAATGTCTGCTGACTGAAAAGTTACAATCAAACAACATTTAACTCTGAAAATAAAAAGGAACAGAAAAGAATGAACATGATGGAATTTTTCTTGACAAGGTTGTGACTTGAAAAGTATCTTAAGACTTTCAGGTTGGGTCTTCAATGTAAAAGCACTTTTTTAACTATGTAATTAATGAATAAGTGCTAACTTTGAGAAGTTATCAAATATGACCTTGGTCTTTAATGTCGCTTCGTATGACATATACGACTAGCTAAACACCTGATCATACCCTTGTTTGTTTCATGCTTTTATAAGATTCAGAGGAGATCTGTAGGGACAAGCGTTGGGGACGAGGTTGGTGGGAATCGAATAACTTTTTCTAACAAGACTTAGGCCTTGCCAACACTAATGCGTTTTCAAAAGTATGCGTTTACGTTGTCATTGAAAAAACATCGATCGATTTGCGTCCACACTAACGTTTTGATGCGTTTTAGACTGTCCACAGTCAGGCCTGGTCCACAGTAAAACGTTCTAAAACGGTAGAATTGCACGCTGCGACGTAAGTTGAACTCTATGGACATTCTACAAACACACGCGCCTTCGATATTTGACATATTACAGTCATCGTTTTGATTTTGAAGCGTTTTCGACCGTTTTGGATCGGACGTAGCCTGTAAACAGACCTTCTTTTAGTTTTTCTTTTCGTTCTTTTCAAAAAAATCGGCGAGCTCGCGAGCGAAGCGAGCGCGAGAAAGAAAAAAAATTTTTCTCCTTCCCCTACACCTACCCCCTTGCGCTGGCGGTCAATAAATCTCCCGCGGTTTATATTTTATCACGAGCGCTCGACGGACTTTGAAGAGAAAACAGAGTCTGTGAGCAGGCTAGATCGGACTGTCTACACTGATAGGATATTTAATACGCGTTTTCGAGGAAAACAATTAGCGTATCCCCGTATGAGTGTGGACGTAAGGCTTAAGCCTGGGTATCGAAAATGTATACGTTTTCAAATAAAAACGCATTAGTGTGGACGCCAACGAACCATCCGAGCGAAGACGTGAGGATTGCGAGGAGGCAGGAGAATAGAGCCGCGCAAGACTGGGCTGATAGGCAGAAAAATTCTCGATCGAGCTTCAAAAAGTATAACCTGGGGTGCTCTCCATTATACCGGACCAACAGTCTGGTCAGAGACCACTCGGACTAACCAAGGGAAAGTGGAACGCGTCGGAACCAAAACTCCGACCGAATTGATTGTTGGTATTGACGTAAGGGATAGGGTCAGAGACTGCTAAATCGGAGAAGCCAGTAATATATTTGTCTTCAAAAACTAATGAAAACCAGAAGAAAAACCAAATTAAGATACACTGCTGTACCTGAGCCTCGTGTGCAACTGCGGATAAGGAGAAAGTTTAGGCCTTGCGTCTGAAGCTTACACACATTGCACTAGTAAACACTTCCATCTGAACCATCCGCCATTTTGACTACTATGTGGAGTGACGAGCTGGAGCGGGACTGAAAACGAAAATTTTTGAAAAATGGAACGGCAGTTTTCGGTCGGACCGGACCGACCGGTCAAAGAGGACCACTTTGACCTGAAAAGTTCCACCTGGGCCGAACCGTTCCATCTACGTTTGGACCGAAATTCCGATGCATAACACCTTTTCAAGAAAATTTTCTTTGCAACAGGAAGGGCCCAAGAAACTGTCAAATGTTGGAAAAAAGGGAATTCCATTCCTATGCAAAATACGCATGATTTGCTCGTTGGCACTCTGTCGATAGGTATATTTAGTTTATATACGAATAGTTTACAAAAACAGGGAAAAAATAATAAATATGAATCGTTAAACAATTAGCGTCGGTGAACCACTTCAGAAGCAGTATGCATGGTCTCCTAGTAACATGCAATATATTGTCCAACAGAAAAGTGATGGGAATAGGCAGATGCAGTGGCCAGGGGATGCGCTTTTTATATAAACTCAAATTCTCTTAATTAATGTACAATAACATGTATTGCAGCCCGAGAGGAGAATTACTAACTTGGGAGTTAAAGGGTTAAACCGTCAAATATTTTGTAAAAGAATTGTTTACATACGTTGCGTTCTCTAAAAGTACCCTTGCAGCGCAGTCCAAACGTTTGCAGAGAAACGTCACAATGCCCCCCATCTTTGAAATAAATGTTGGAAAACAAATAAACCTTTTGACTGATCTTGTCGTGTTTCTTGCTTGTGTGTGCGTGTGTAAAGAATATTGTCTGCGAAATGACGTCACTTCTGCACGTAAAAAAGCTATTCCTTTTTTTCCAGCTGTCAGGCTTTTTATATATGATGATTGATCTTTGGACGATTCGTGAAAATGAGGTGACAGTATATCACGCAAAGACATAACGTGGTTCAAAATAAACTGGAAATGACAGAAATCAACCCCACTAGCTTGACTTTCCGGCAGAAACTTTAAAACGTCGAAAGGGGTATATACCGGGGGTACTGCCATATATGGGCTATATAGGTATGTGCCGCTGTGAAGAGTATGGTTTTCAAGCAGTTTACTCTAGGATACTCCTATGATAGGGTATATAAATCAGAGTGTTTGGGTCTAGAATAGGGTATAATTTTTCAGGAAACTGATCAGTTGGTTGAAGATTTTATCTAAACTAGGGATTGTGGTATAAGGTTTTGTTTTGGCTAGACTACTGTGCTAGTGACCTCAGTAGTTTCTGGAAAACAGCTACTCTAGGATAGGGGGGATTTGGGGAGTTTACTCTAGTCAGGGTAGCAAAATTCAGCTGAACTAGCTCTGGTATAGGTTAAGGGTTCCAGGGTCCCAGTGGCACATTCCCGCCTAAAAATTACTGAAGTACCACCCCCCCGGGGTATACAGTAGTACAGTCAAACCCCGCTTTACGGATACCCGCTAATTCGGACACCTCATTATTACAGATAGTTTGCTTTGTCCCTTGGGAAAGAAAGCCCTCATTACATTTCCTTTAAACTCAACCCGCTTTACGCAGACACCCCATTATTTT